TTTCCTCATATCAGAGGATACCCCATCACCCACAAACCCCCTAACCCCAGCATTGCTATCAGACATGAATGTATAGGTATACATCTCTTCACAGTAACAATACTTTAGAGGGTTTAGGTAATTTTACTTTTTAACATGATAGTTATAAGCTTAATATCAAAACGTATTGTGAGATATTTAAACATCCATTTATAGATTTTTACACTGCTGAAGAGTGTAAGGAAATGCACCTATCAGTATCTTTCATGTCTGTGATACATTTTTATTTTTAAGAAAACATTTTACCAAAAGACTCTTACTTTGTGGGGGCACGTGACACACTCATGATTTTTTTTCTCCATCTGCAAATATGAAAAAAGTTAACCTCCCTTGCTGATTTCTTCTGTTTGTAACATAAGTCGTACTCTAAGGAGACAAACTTGCATATTTTTTAGAAACAATTCTTGGTTCTAGATGTTTTCATAGTTTTAGAAGCTTGGCATGACTATATTTTTGTTTAAAAGGTTGAAGAATGGGTGCCCTGTCATGTGTGATTTTAACTATGAACACATTATTTAGCTGAATATTAGATCATCTGTTACCATTTCAGTGGGATGCTGTAAATCAGAAATGATAAGGATTTTTTTCAGTAAGAATTTTATTGTTTTGAGACATTTATCTCATGCTTCTGTTGTTTGATATATGTTTATGTACTCACATGCCATATGTATTCTAAATCTTATGCCTTGTCAGCTTTATGCTACTCAGGTGTTGCTGTGCAGCAAGCATGAGTTAGCAGTGGGTGTTGGGTTTTGGGGTTTTCTGGTGTGGTTTTTCTTTTGGTTTTGTTTTGGGAGGGGCTGGTTTTTGGTGGTCTTTCTTGTTTTTGGTTTTGTTTGTTTGGGTTTTGATGTGTCTTTGGGTTTTTTTGTGTTTTGGTGTTGTGATTGGTTTTGCTTTTGTTTTTTTTTTTTTAGAAGACTAGCTTTCAGCCCTATTTCAGTTATTACTTATGGGAGTTGTAAAGCAGAGTGAAAACTATAACCTGATCACTCTGCTACCCTGGGACTTGTAAATCTTGCTTTCTACAGATGGTCTTCCACTTACCACTGAGCAATTAGCTTTTCTTTCCTTAACTTTTTGCTAGCCATACAAAGAGTTGCTTCTATGAAGCATATGTAATTTGGGTAACAAAAAGACTCTGTTACAGAGGACAGACAAGGGCAAACAGGAAAAGATTACATGATCTGTTCTTTTTTATATTCTATTCTTTTTGGCAGTTAAAACCTGTTAACAATCCTGAAGTGCTGCCACATGCTAGGTGACAAATATAAAAACAGAGCTATCTAAACACAAATGAGAACTGAAGTTGCTTTAGCATATTGTGCCAAGGGACTGCTCAAGTATTACTGGGAAAGGTATTTAACAGAAAAAAGGTATTATAATGTTTTAAATAAGACAAGAAATCTTTGTAACTGTAATACTGAGATTGCTATCTTAGATAATATCTCAAAGGTCACTTTAGATTGTACAGGAAAAGTAAGTCGTTTCTTAAGTTTCATAAATTGATATTATACTGCCAGCTATAGAAATGTTTTATATCCTACAGAGAAAGAGGTTAGCAGACACTAAATGCTTTCTTTAAAAAGAAAGTAGTTCATTTCCTAGAATCAGAAATTTTCAGTTGTATTCTTATGAACTTTGCATGCATTGTAAATATTGTGATGTTTGTGGTTTAATACTCATTAATAATGCACTTATCTGTAGCTTTAAATACATCTTCAAGCAATATTTTATATATATATATATATATATATAAGTGATAATGACATTCTCTAGTGACAGTATTCTTGGGAACATGTCTGCATTTATTTATTAATTATACTCTTCAAGCTTGTGCACTATGGATCTCTAATTTCAGGGTTAAATTTCTTTCATAAAAATTATTGTCAGGCAATGTACTTAGATCTGTCATTCTCATGTAAATGTTCATATATTTTAAAATTACATTTATTTGGCCTTGGAACATTTGACAGGTCTGGGACTTCTAGGCTGATAAATATACATTTCAGTAAGTTTCCAAGCCAGTCCTGTGGTTTACAGTGCTCTATGCAATTTGCATTCCTTTAACATATTTTAGATATATATTAATAAGGGATTTATTTCCCTATACCAAGCTAGTCTTCAGAATTCAGTTAATTTCCCTGAACTAAAATACAGTTGAATAGTTCTTATAATTAAAAAACTCAAACCAACTCTTAATAGAAATTATACCTTTTGTAATACTATTATGCAAACTCCAGAAGACCAAACAGTGCCTTATGTTCGTTAAAGATAGAACTCTTGAACTTCCCATTGCATGATGCCCTTCTCTGGTTGACAGAGAAGTAGCGAATGAACTAGGCTATGTAGAAGGAATGAAGTACAGTATGAGATTTGCAGCAAGGATGGGTTAAAATTTTCTGGGAAGGAAAGCAAGAAAACTGAAGGGCTCTTGAATGACACATAGAATCCAAACAGTCCTAAACATTTAAGAAGTGTGATCTGCTACTCCCTTGAGACATGCTTGTATAAGCAAAATGTGGCTAAACAGTGAAGAGTTAAAATTCTAGATTGTTTTTTCTAGAATGTATGCTTGAGCAGGTCCAGAGGAGGACCATGAAGATGATAAGGGTCTGGAGCTACCTCCGTTATGAGGACAGGCAGAGAGAGCTGGGGATGTTCAGCCTGGAGAAGAGAAGGCTCTGGGGAGACCTTATAGCGGCCTTCTAGTACTTAAAGGGGGCTACAGGAAAGATGGGGAGAGACTCTATCAGGGAGTGTAGGGATAGGATAAGGGGTAATGGTTTTAAACTGAAAAAGGGTAGATTTATATTAGATTTAAGGAAAAAGCTCTTTACTGTGAAAGTGGTGAGACACTGGAACAAGTTGTGGCTGCCCCCTCCCTGGAAGTGTTCAAGGCCAGACTGGATGGGACTTTGAGCAACCTGATCTAGTGGAAGGTGTCCCTGACCATGGCAGGAGAATTGGAACTAAATGATCATTAAGGTCCCTTCCAACCCAAACCATTCCATGACTCTATGAATATAAATTGTCTGCCACACTTTTCCTACAGCTACTTATGTAACCTGTGTTCTGTATATACTGAAAATATGAATTGAATCAAAATTTTTCTATAACCTTTCTTTTTTTATTTTGTTGTATATGCATATATAAAATACTTGGGAAAAGATTGGGGTGAAAGAAAGTTTAAACTGGACTTCATATATCTGCATATAAATTCAAAGCTTAAGTGATAATACATGTTAGTGTTATGGACAAATACTAAGAAAAAAGGTTAGTTATGGGGAAATTTCAGTTGCAGTTGGTGGCTACTAGCCTTCAGAAGCAATGATGTCTCTTTTAGAAGTACTTTAAAATTAATAAATAAGTGTGATTATTTCTGCCATCTCTAAAAATATTTGTCTATGTAGTTTTCCCTACTGAATTTTAATTATGGGCTTCCTCTCCATCAATAACCAATGTTTTTTTCTACTGAAAGTTATATAACTCTCAGAGCAGCTCTGGTCTGCCTCTGCCCACTGGTACTTTTTCAGTGACTGAGCAACAGGGTGCACTTGGATATTTTGAGAAGGTAACTTCTGTCTCCCCTTACTTTGGATGTTGTTCTCACCCCCTGTAGAACCTTATTTTTAGATCTTTATTCTCCATGGTTTTCAAATGCTTTCCCCATTTCCCAAATCCCAAACTAAATCAGCAGGATTTCTTTTGAATTTTAGTGACATAAAATGATTGGTGAACTTAAGAATTTACTGATAGGCTATTGATGCACCACTTTTATATTTTCACATCTGTTGTGCTTCATAGTTGGACAGAATCTTTTCAGTATATAGCACTGCAAGTGAGAATTCAATAACCAAACTGCAGAGCTCCATGGGGCAAGCTCTTTTAAGGTAGACAACTGAAATGTTAATTTTTTATTTAAAAATTGTAAATGTTAAGTGGAAGCTTTATTTTTAAAGGTAGGGGTGAGGAGCTGGGAGATACTTAAAATAAGTTTTCTTTGTGTATTTGCTGATTTCCTCTTTAGTTTATTTTCAAAAATACTTCCTGGACTTCTGCAGTTCTCTGTATTTATCTCTAACTCCCTCCAATTCTTTTTCCTTCTGTAGTGTTTTTTTCAGTTACTTTCAGATTTTGCTAAGTGAAATTTGCAGCATTTGTCAATTTAGTTTCCTTCATGTGGTATACAATAAAGCAGAAGATTGAATATATAGTATATATAGTATATATAGTATATATACTATATATAGTATATATAGTATATATAGTATATATAGTATATATAGTATTATATAATATAAGTATACTTCATTATACTTAAAGCTGTGATTTTCCACTGCAGTAATAGCATCACAGCAGTAAATCAGATCATTTAAAACATGTTCATTTCTAAAATATTTTGGGGAATAGCCTCTGGGGAGGCTTTTCCAAGTTGTGGTTGACAAAGGAAGCTCAAATTGTTTTCTTATATTAGGAACAGTAGTGTCTTAAGTGCATAGTTGTCACGACAAAATTTTAAGCTCAAGCTTCTATTTGGCATATTACCAGTTAATATTGAAGAGTACTCAGATAATGGAATGTTGTATTCTTACAAATACATTAAGTCAGCCTATAATGCCCATGTTTTTGATACTGTCACACAATAAACTTAATAGCTATTTTTATTATAGCTTTTTTCATTTGATACTTAAAAAAAAAAAAACCACAAAAAAAAAACCAAACCAAAACAAAACAAAAACAAACAAAAAAAAACCACACAAAAAAAAACCCCCAAAACCCCAAATTTATTTTAGATTCTTTCACTAATAATAAATCAGTCACCTGCAATAGGGCTTAATGTGTCCATTGTGGTGCTGGCTGTTCCTGAACTACATGCTTCAAGTGGAAAAAAATACAGTAAACAGAATTTATTTTGTGATTTCTTTTTATATCATATGTAATTCATGTCACACCTGCAGGTGCTGCTGTTTTTTCAAGCGGAGGAAAAGGAAAACCATTCAGCGCCACAAATGACTAGAATCAAGGAGAACGTGGGAAATTACTTACTTGTTCAACTACTGTCTCGTAATCTTAAAAAAAACCCAAAACAACCAAGCCTCTGTAATGACCATATGTTTTCCAAGGACTCCCTTAGAAACAATGTCATGTCTGTATGGTTTGATTTAGTTCTTCTGCATCCATCTTCTGTTTCTTTTAATTCTGAAAGCTTTAAGGTTTTGTCAAATATGAGTGCTTGTTTGACCTTCAACAAATGGACCAATGAAATGGTACAAATGAAAGGTATCTCCAGCAAAAGTGAACCTGAAAAGTATTTCTCCTGTCCTAGGAAGTACTAGCAGTGTCTTAGCTGAAGACAGATGGCATAAATGTATTTGATTTCATAGCAGCATATCAAAAGCAATTTTCTTCAAAAATATAGAAGAAAAATACAGTTGCACAACCATATAGAAAAATAATAAAATATTATTTATTTTATTTTCTGACAGCTGTATTGATTATTTTTTCTTCCAGTATTACTGGTGATACTGTAGTCAGATTATATCAGCATTAAACCCTGCCTGTGATACTGTGGTCCAGTCACTGTCTAGAGGTACTGAGAAGTCTGATTTAACTGTTGACAGTTGTCTAAATGCTGGCTATACTAATGAACAGAAATTATTTCCTGTAGTTTCTGGGTTTGAAAACCTGCTTTTGTTATGCCTACATAATGTACTGGAATTGCAGTACAGTAGTAATGACAAGAGTTTGTACAAAAAATATAGAATTTTTGTGTAATTTGAGTTGTGCTTCCTGTAATACCAGTAAAATTTAAATACCTTCAGAAGAGATCTACAGAGGAATTATAAACAAAGAAATAAATGTGAATCTGGTTAGTGGAATATGTATTATAGCCTATATATTCACTAAGGTAACTGATGATTGACAACACCTTTAGCTTGAAAATATCAATGTGCCATTTCGTGTTAGTATCTTTTTTTAAATTATTTTACTCTTTAATTTAGAAAACACAATGAAAGTGGGTTAGACTTCTGCCTTCTCTGCCTACTAGGCCATAGCACCCAAAATTTCCTGAGATTTTTTTTTCTGGAAGTTTCTTGTCTTTCAGTGTAATGTCACTACTATAGTAGGATGGCAAGGATGTATCAGGTACTTCCTCACAGTTGAATGAAGTGCCTGCAGTATGAAAAAACCAACAGTTGTGTAGACTAGGCATCCCATTTTAATTTCCTTCTTCAGAAAATACATGCTTCTTTAAAAGCTGTAATAACAGAGGTTTGCTGCCAGTTGTTGAAGGGGTATGAAAGATGGAAGTGACTAGACAGATTTGTTGACCAAAACTCAGATGATATCCTTTTTTTAATAATTCTTCTAGAGCTAATAAGCATTTTTTCTATCCACACATGTGTTTTGGCATACTTATTTATTTTTAATCTGTTTTGTGATAGCATTTTAAATGTATTTGAAAATAAATGCACACCTTTGAATTCATAATTGCATTTACAAGGATTTTAATTGTATTTTTTAATTTATTTTTCCTTAACAGCCAAAAGTGTATTTTATTTTTGGATTATGTGCTCATATGTATAGTTTGATCTTTGTCATTATTACGGTTCATGGTCTTTGTTTTAAAAAACCTGCACTTGGCCTACCAAAACATACTGTACAACAGGTTGTGTTCTTATCTCAAACTCATGAAGTTACTTCTTTGTTTTCATTTGATCTGAAAAGGTGGATTACTTTACCATTCTCATATGAAAACACATCTCTTTGTAGTACTTGACCAAATTTGTTGCTTCATTTCTAAGTACATGTGGTATGTGTATTTCTCACACACCTGATTAGTTTTGTTCTCAGAGGTTTTTGACCTGTACAATGTTTGTATGAGCTGAACTCCATACACATAACAAGAAAGTGTGCATATTATGGACTTAAAATATTTTGAATATATAGAAGCAGTATATTTGCTGAAATGATGGTATCTAGGCACTTGCTTTTCAGCAATATTTTTTTAAAGAGCTTGATTTCAATGCTGAAGAAGGTTTTCTTGTAGAAAAGCAGTCAGTACTAATACAGGTATGTTCAGGTTATGCCAGTCTGATTTACATTTGTATCCTTTTTTTTTTTCCTCTCTAAGCTGATCAAGTCAATATTGGCTGAATGTCTAAAAGTGAAATACAGTACATCCCTGTTTAAATGTAAGATGAAAGAATAAAGATAGTTTTTTAAAAATTGCCTTTTTTCTCCCTTTTCTACAGTCTTGGATGAAATAACGGGAGCTGTTCTGAGAATTGCTGAACAGTTTTAATCTTCTTGGACAGCAAGGATTTTGAAAGCATGTTACATGAAATGCTACCTCAACATTGCAGTTATAGTTTGCTTAGTTAACAGGAGTTATTGTATATGCTTTAATACACCTAATAATAACAGTAGAGTGAAGGGACTACAATGCACATGGTTGTAACTGTAATCTACTCAGGGTCTTCATGGATTAAAGCCTGTGGTGTCTGTGCCACATAAAATAAAAGTCATTAGAGATACTGTGACATATGCAATAAATGGGTGTCTGATTTTGCCAGGTATGTGTCTAGAAAAGGAAGACTTATGATTAGTTCTTCATTCACAACCTTTTGTTCAGTAGAGATATTTGTTCCTAGCTGTAGAGCATTTGATATATAAAAAAGGGCATCTTTACTTGAGAACAATGTTAATAGGCAAATTGCTTGCTAGACTTCTAGTTAGTATTCCCAGTACTTGGCTTCATAAACATATATTTTCATTTGCTTGTGCTCTTACAGATCTACAGAACTATTGCAAGTAAAAAATTTTTTCAAGTTCATGTTTTCTTTTTATTCAAACTAAAGTTTTCCTCAGAGCTACTTTTTTAGACTTGGAATTTTAACACCTGAGTGCTTAAAAATACATCACCATGATTTTTTTCAGTAGCTTTTTCAGAAATTTTAGTAGCTTTCTTAAAGACTATTTCAGAGTGAAGACTGCAGGATTAGTGATGTCAGAATTAAGCCACTGTACAGATTAATTGATTCTTACCAAATTAAACAGCATATTTCCTGAGGATATCTTCCTCTTTAAGTTTTCAGGATGAGTGATAGTAACTAGGTAGTATAGTTTTAAGAATGTATTTGTTTCTCGGATGCTCAATGTTTATTTTTCATGTAAGATAGGCTGTTCCATATCTTACTACACATCTGTTTGAACCTTAGTCAAAATACAGCTTTACTGAATATTTGTGGTGTTTCCTGTGGTGACACATACCATATAATATGGAGTATTTAAGATACATATTTAGGTCTTCATACAACTTACTCTGGAATATTACCCTGTTGTCATTAAAGGCTATTGAATCTAAAAGTACTGTTTAAAACAAAAACAAACAATACAGTCAACTCATGAACTTCATGACTAGCTTGAGATGCAAGTTGCTTTTCAGACTACACTTCTGTTTTCTTCTGTACTGAAAAGTACTAGAGTGTTTAGCTAGCCCTGAGTGTTTAACCTGTTTAAAACCTGAGGTTTTGAAATGGACAAACCAAAAATATGGAACACTCAAACTGCTCTGTGAAGATTTGAGTGGTTAGGCTGTCATGTTTGTGGCAGAGACTAGTATTTAGTTTTCAGAAAGGTGTTTTGTATACCAGATCTACTTCAGTGCTCTGAGCTTTCCCATTGCTTGGAACAAGGAAGTTGTTGATAGGTGGACTTCGGTGATAGTCAGATACTCAAAATTTCGTGAAAACTTAAAGCACTTGATGGACAGAGTGAATGTTAAGGAAGCAGGGATCCAGTGAGTTGTGATCATTGTATAACACCTGACCATTTTTTATGTTGATCCCTAAATTGCCTTTAGCTTTCTTCTGAAAGAGCTTGAGGATTTGAGTTGATTGAGGATTTGTAAATCCTGGACTGTTCTCCATCTACTTTTTATTCTGAGCTGAAAACATGTCTTCTTCTTAGGAAATAGAGGGATGTGACGTTAAGATATTTCAAGAGTGTTCAAGAACATTAAATACCAGTGCTGCAATAGATGCCTATAAACTCTTCAGAAGGTCAAGGAAAAAGAGGCAGCAAGGTAGCCATTTATGTTAGGAAATGTTTTGATTCTCTAGAGTGTGACGATAATGATGGAAGGGTTGAGTGTTTATGGGTAAGCGTTTGGGGAAAAGCCAGTAAGGCAGATATCATGATAGGAGCCTGTTACAGACCACTCAACCACAATGAAGAGGCAGATGAAATATTCTACAAACAGCTGGGAGAAGTCTCATGGTCTCTACTCCTTGTTCTCAGGGGACTTCAACTTAACCATATCTCTGCTGGAAATACAATATATTCTAGGAGGTTCGTGGAGTGAGCAGAACATAACTTCCTGACATACCTGGTAAGTGAACCAACTACAGAAGGTGTCTGCTGGACCTCTTTGTGAACAGAGAAGGACCTGGGGGTGATCTGGTGGTTGGAGGCTACTCAAGACAGTGCCTGTGCAATGGGAAGAAGGGACAGCTCCAATGAAAATGGGTCTGACTCTATCTATCATTACAGCTCTGTGCAAGGTGGCAGTCGCCAAAGGGGCTAACCTGCCTTCTCAGGCCAGCTTTTCTTTTGTAGGACCAAGGTCTTAGCTGAGTCTAAAGCATGAAGCTTCAGTGCAGTGGTATGTGCTGTGGTCTGTTGCACTGAGGTGTAGCAGCACTTTTCAGCTGTCCTTGAGTGCAATGAAAGTGCAGTTTTACCCTTGATCTGTGTTTGTGTCATGTGTGTGTTGGTCTTGGCCTGGGAGCCTAGTCCTGCACCTCTGCCACCAGAGATGGCATGTACACTCATGCCCACAGGCCTGGCAGTGCACTGGTGGAGCCGGGAAGGTTGTTTGGTTGCCCCAGACTGCTCTGGGTCAAGGTGTCTCAGCATCCAGAGCACAAGGCATGCTCGGCTGCTGCTCCTGCCCACTCAAGCTCAGCCTCAGGGGTGCACTGAGAGCTGCTTCCAGCACTGGGTGCTCTGCACACCCGTTTCTTCCCATCCAGGTCTGCTTAGGCACTTGCATGGTACACTGGGGGTGGGGGCAAAGCCCTGCTCCACATCACATACTTGTCCCCACTTTCTACTCCACACTACTGGCTCTACCCTGAGACATTGCCCTCCTTTGCCACTCGCAGCTTGCAAGGGAGTAGAGACAGAAATAAGAAAGACGCCTCCCAACAACTTCTCTGTCCTGGAGCTCTCAAGGTGGTGTTTGTGCAGTGGGGACAAGCTGAAGTCCAACAATCCCTGGAGGTGTTTAAGAGTTGAGTTGACATAGCACTTAGGGTTATGAACTGTCAGGTTAATGGTGAGACTATATAATCTTCAAGGTCCTTTCCAACCTAGTTGATTCTGTAAAAAATGAGCCTGGCCCCATCCTTGCAACTCAGTACAAGGTGGCAGTCGGCAAAGGGGCTGGTCTGCCTTCTCAGGCTGTCTTTTCTTTCCAAGGACCAAGGTCTCAGCTGGGTCCACACACGGCATGAAGCTTCAGTGCAGTGGCACGTGCTGTGGTCTGTTGCACTGAAGTGTAGCAGCCCTCCACGTGCCAGAGGCACTGGCTGTCCTCTCCTGCAGAAGCCCAGGTCACGGCCATTGCTCGGGAAGGTGACTGCAGAGGTGCGAGGCAGGACAGGTTTACTAGTGATAAGCTCTGGGGCAGCTTATCACAGGATTGAGCGATGGTATGCAAAGTGAGGGCTTTCACTCTGCCCCACGATGTACCAAATGCAGTGGAGCACATTCCAAATGTTTGTACACTAATACCTGCTGCATGGGAAATACACAAGAGGAACTTGAAGCTTTTGCTCAGTCCCAGAGCTATGACAATGTTGTCCTAAGTGGGACTTGGTGGGAAGAGCCCTGTGTTGATTTTAAACTCTTCAGAATAGACAGGTAGGGCAGGTGAGGCAGAGGGGTAGCACTGTATGTAAAGGAGGGTTTGGACAGCTTGCCCTTGGGGGTAAAATGGTTGAGAGACTCTGGGTAAGGATTAGGGGATAAGCTAATAAAGCAGATGTTGTTGTGAGAATCTACCACAGATCACTCAGCCAGGATGATGGCAAAAATGTATAATTTTAAATGGAATTAAGGGTGATCTCCAGATCAATTGCCCTTGTCTTTATGGGTGACCTCAACTTCCCAGATACAGCAGATCTGAAGAGGTCGATGAAATTCATATAATCACAGAATGTTCTGGGTTGAAAGGGACCTTTAAAGAGCATTGTACTCCAACCCCCCTAACATAGACATGGAAATCACTGAATCACAGAATCAGCTAGGTTGGAAAAGACCTTGAAGATCATCTAGTGCAACCATTAACCTAACACTGACAGTTCCCAACTACACCATATCCCTCAGCGCTATGTCATCCCCACTCTTAAACACCTCCAGGGATGGGGACTCCACCAACTCCCTGGGCAGCCCATTCCAACACCTAACAACCCCTTCTGGAAAGAAATACTTCCTAATATCCAGTCTAAACCTCCCCTGGTGCAACTTGAGGCCATTCCCTCTTATCCTATCACTTGTTACTTGGTTAAAGAGAATCATCCCCAGCTCTCTGCACCCTCCTTTCTCGGAGCTGTATAGGGCGATGAGGTCTCCCCTCAGCCTCCTCCAGACTAAACACCCCCAGTTCCCTCAGCCGCTCCCCGTACGACCTGTGCTCCAGACCCTGCACCAGCTTCGTTGCCCTTCTCTGGACACGCTCGAGTCATTCAATGTCCTTTTTGGAGTGAGGGGCCCAAAACTGAACACAGGAATCGAGGTGCGGCCTCAGCAGTGCCGAGTACAGGGGTCAGATCCCTTCCCTGTCCCTGCTGGCCACGCTATTGCTGACACAAGCCAGGATGCCATTGGCCTTCTTGGCCACCTGGGCACACTGCTGGCTCCTGTTCAGCCGGCTGTCAATCAGCACCCCCAGGTCCCTCTCTGACTGGCAGCTCTCCAGCCACTCCTTCCCAAGCCTGTAGCGCTGCTGGGTGTTGTTGTGGCCTAAGGGCAGCCCCCGGCATTTGGCCTTATGGAAACTCCTGCAGTTGGCCTCAGCCCATGGCTCCAGCCTGTCCAGGTCTCTCTGCAGAGCCTCCCTACCCTCGAGCAGATCAACACTCCCACCCAACTTGGGGTCATCTGCAAACTGACTGAGGGTGCACTCGATCCCCTCGTCCAGATCATCAATAAAGATGTTAAAC